ATTCAGATGGAGAATGGTAACACAGCTGTATTTATGGAGTCATCAAGTGGCAGTTGATTTTGCAGCTGTTGAATAAACCTGATGCGGGATCTCTCTCATCTCACAAAAAGAAAGCAATGGAAGTCTCAACATTTCTATGTTTAATTATCAGTCCTGAAATATTAAAAAATTGCCTTTTTTCCCCCCCTAATTGTCCCCCTACCTCTAGGTGATATCATCAAGAATTATGTTTTTGAAAGCTTTTAGCTTTTCCATTTTTGGTTATTTATAACTTTGACTCCCCTGAAGTGAATAAGGAACTGGAAATGATAGAACGAGCCAAACTGGCTTCCCAGGACACCACACTGCGATGTAAATTAAATCTGTCCCTTTTCAGAGCAGCAGCAAACAGCCAAGTGCTGCTTGGGCTCTCTCATGCTCACCCAGCAGAACTTCCCATCTGCTTCTCCAGGGATCTGCATCATTTCCAGATCCTCAGCTTTCAGTTTCCTCAGCAAACTAGTGGAAACCTGGTCCTGTGGTCACGCTCGCAGCTCCTCGTGTGCTCTTCTGCAACCATGTGCAGTGGTCAAGGCCAGGTTGGATGAGGCTTTGAGCAACCTGGTCTAGTGGAAGGTGTCCCTGCTGATGGCAGGGGGGATGGAACTGGATGAGCTTGAAGGTCCCACCCAACCCAAACCAGTCTGTGACTCCATGCCACCTGTCCCACTGTTTTATCTCACCCTTGCACTGGCTGATTGTTGCACCAGGCATTTGTAAGAAGCTGAGTGCATCTGCTGCCTCTGCTCTGCTTCCAAGAATAAAAAAGCCAGATTGAGTTGAGGCTCTGAACTTTGCATCACCACTAGACTTGGTCTTCAAAAACTGCTGACATTGCATTACAAATCTGAGCCAGGCTTCATAAATTTATCATTAAACACCCACCCATTAGTGATATTTTGGGGTTCATTCTGGAACTAGTAAGTGCTTTCTGCAAGTCAATGGAAGGTGAAGGTGTTCGCTTTGCCACGTGTCAGGACACCAGAATACTGGGGAGCTTCAAATGAGCTACATCTAAAATGTTGGTTTATTTATCAGTCAGGTAAACAAATCAATGGAGATCACCTAATGCATCATCTATTAGATACATTAAAAAAAAACAACACCCCACACTTTGTTTTTTATTAAAAAATTTATGAACTATGCAAAAAAAGTGCCATATAATGATTTACAAAACAGAAGAAATGTGCCAGATACCATCAAAATGCTAAATATCTGTGTAACATTTGAAATATACATATTATACAATGTTAATTATGAATAACCTGCTCACATATTTATAATACAAAGGGCTTCTGCAAAGAGTATTTAACATATGCAGCCACTTTCATCTGTATAACAAAGAAAAAAAGAAATCATAATGAAATAACACAAGTGTAAAAACAGGAGTTTCAAATCAAGTGCTTTGGGTGGAAAAAAATAGGTGGAAAGCTCTTACTTAGTTTAAATTCATATATTTTAAGCTTAAGGAAACTCTGAATATTGTCAGTTATACGTGTTAAATGCTACAAACAACGATGCTGTTTGTTACTGCAAACAACATTCAAAGCATATTCCACAGCATTTTAAACAATTCCTGTTACCTCAGAAAATACCCTTTATTGTTAAATAGTTTGCTGCAGGGACAAACCTGAGTTGCTGAAGCAATCTGAAATAATCTATTGAAGGACTTGCTAGTACATTTGTACCAGCAGAAATATGTTATTAACCTAACTGTGAGTTAAATATTCTTTTGTACTTTATAGGTGCAAGCTCCTTATTTAATTTTCAACACTTTCTGTTTGATAAATTATTTTAGGGCAATTTAAACACAAGTCTTTTCTTGTGAGGACGCAGAAGTAATCAAACTGCTTAACCAGGTGCTTAAAGAGGGAAATCAATAACTTAAGTAGAGGCAACCAAGGTTAACTGATTTTAATAGCAATGAAAATTTAAAAGTCACAGAAAGACAGTTAATTTCCCTTTTTTGTCTGTATTAGGGACTACAATGTAGCTCCTCACTGGAGGTAGGGCATCAGAACATAAACCCAGCTCTAAATGAGTCTGTAGTAAATAAATAATCCTGCTTGTCATCCAACAATTAACAACTCTCACTCCTGTTCCCTACAAAATGTTTGCTGTGGATATTTAATTTATGGTTGTCAAAAAATGCTGGTACAAAATACTCAAGAAGCACTTTTTAATGTGACCAAAAGGTCAGTTATTGCTGTACAGTTACACTAGCTCTCACTGCGGGACCGGCTGCTGCTCGTTCTCTTTCTTTAGCAATTTCCATCTCTATTTTGGCTTTGATTTTATTCCAATCAACTTCCAGCTGTAAGAACAGAAAAGCGAGTATGCAGAGGTTAACTAACATTAAATAGAGAGGTCAAACAGATAATTTGCTAACAGGATAATTTGAAGTTACAATTACAAAGTGACCATATCAATCATTATACACTTCTTCAGGTAAAAAAGTCACAATTTACACTAACAGGATGTATGAAGGCACAGTTGAGTTCTATCAAACTGAGCTTTCCACCTTTAAGATAAACCAAACTTGATATATTTTAACAAATACTAACATATCTCATTGCGCCTGGCAAAAAAACCCCCCCACATTAAAACACCAGAATAACTTGGATCGACTTTTATCTAATTTAAATGTAATGACATCTGTGTCCTATTACTGAGAATAGAGCCCTTAATCAATAATACATGCAGTGATGTCTTCTGACTGCACCTAAAGTCCACCAAGTAAACTGATAGCATCTTACTCTAGTTACCTGATATAACAGAAATCAAATTTCTGCCTGAAATTTGTCTTCTGCATCAAGAAAAGTTTTAGCTTTATCTTGGCATTTCTTCAGCTGCAGAGAATCGTCATCTTCTGGCTGTATTCTGTTCCAGTGAAACTTCAGGCAATAGATATAGTACAATATCCATGGTATAGCGGGGTAAAATACGTGTCAGTCTTTCAAAAAAATGCTTGAAAAGAAAGATTGGATCATGGTGCATTTGATGACTATAAAAACATGTCAAAAACATGTCAAAAACCGTGCAAAAATGTAATTGTGAAGTTCAGTTTCATTGCTGGAGAATTAAGATTGTCAAAGATGGGATGGGGAAAAAGAAAGCTCAATTCCTGCACAGAGAATTTTCTGAGTAGCTGTTATTCTGTTAACTAAGTCATGAAATAACAAGGAAGATTCTCTGTGAGGGAAGATGTAACTGCAATCCCCACATTCTCATGTGAAAAGGTTAATCCCCCAATTCAGGATGCATTTACTGGGCCCAGGTGCTTTGGATCTGATGACTGAAATCTTTATGGAGCTCTAAGAAAGAATGTGTTTGCTTTAACAGATGTCACACAGATGTTAAACATACCACGGAGAGGGCTAATTCTGTCATCTAACCCAGAGAGCTACTTGCCAGGGAAGCCAACAAGCCTTGCCAGTGACACCTAGTAACTGCCAAGATATGGACTCTCAGAACTCTTGGGTTCCCAATACATACCTTAGATATAAAGATGTGAGATACAACAAGTGAGCACATTGTTTAGATTCTGTATCTGATTGCAGATCAGTGCTCTCAGCTGCGGGATAGAAAAGAGGTAAAAACTCCTCACTCAAGCCTGACAAGTCTTAGGTGGTGAGCAGGAAACTGAGATTCTTCTTATTTTTTTTTCCCTGAGAAGGAACAGCAGCACGAAACGGGAGGGACTTTTCATAAGGGCAGTTAATGACAAAACAAGGGGAAAAGGCTCTAAACTGGAAGAGGGGAGGTTTAGGTTAGATATTAGGAAGAAATTCTTTGGTGTGAGGGTGGTGAGACAGTGTCCCAGGTTGTCCAGAGAAGCTGTGGCTGCTCCTCCCTGGAAGTGTTGAAGGCCAGGTTGGATGAGGCTTTGAGCAACCTGGTCTAGTGGAAGGTGTCCCTGCTGATGGGAGAGGGGGTGGAACTGGATGGGCTTGAAGGTCCCTCCCAACCCAAACCAGTCTGGGATTCGATGATTCTATGAAATCTTGCTTTTTTCTTTGATGCCCTTAACATTTGCTTCTAACTTTGCTATGTGAGCCTGACAGGCTGTATTAAGAACTTAAGTGACCACCATAGCCATGAGCATAAAATCCACTTCATGAAGTAGGTTCTCTCCTAGTTTCAGATCCAGCAGACAAGACCTCCAGAACACAGGTGCAAAATACAGCTCAAGGATTTCTTTACTCCAGGAACCTTCTGCAGTCTGAGACCCAAGTTTTAAGACTGAGCATAAGGTGAAACAGGCTCCACTCGTGTCACTCTGCTCACACCTTCTCACTGACAAAGTGTTATAGCTTAGGAATTTTTCCAGAAACTACAGCTTTCTGGTGATTTAAAGACACAACAGTATTATCTAAAGAGCATCTTTCAGAAGCATCAAGGGATTAAGATGATTTTTGCTCAATAATGGATTTAAAGTATGTAGAGATGTACTTCGAGCCAGCAGCTGAAATTGCAACGCTCTAAGTGTTTAAAATATGTTCTGTTATTTTTCTATGTTTTCTAGGTAAAGTACTGCAGAATGGTTCATTGAGGAATTAGATACTGTGCAGGCTTCTATTCTTGTTTAGGAAATGAAACCTCCCTAGAAGTGCTAAAAGCACTTACATTAGAAATGGAGCTTTATTGAAAGTGTAATGGACACTGTTCAGTTAAAGGATCTGAGCTAACAGCTCGGATGTATTTCCTGATCCATCAGCTACAGTGGATGAAAGGATACATCTCTTTTTATACTTTCACCCTCATAATGCTTCAGAACAGCGAGGGGAAAAGCAGGAAGGACATAAGGGCTGCTCAAAGAAATTGCTGACTAAGGTGCACGAGTGGTGCCTCTCATAAAGGAAATGCACAGAAGTATTCCAGTGGAATCTGAGATACTTTTAGCTTATGAACTGTAAGATTTGTCCTCAGTCTTTTAAGATCCGTGAAATGCTAACAAATTGAAGTGACCTACTGATGATGGAGAGAGTTTCCAGAGCTTTGATGAAATTGTATTTTTAGCTCTTTGTCATATTTGGTGGAACAATTCATGTTCCACCAAATTCACAGTTCACTCTTAATATATATCTGGATACCTTCAAAGTTTGTTATTGTTGCTATCCATAAAATGACATTACAATGTTGAAGACATTTAAGAGGTACATATTCAACCATAGTAAGGTCTAGCTCTCTGTTTATAGAAAACAACTGTGCCTTCATTTGTATAATCCTTGCCAGATACTAAATATATACACTGTGTATCTGTGCCTTCAAATAAAACACATGCACAACTATCACTAGCCAAGTAGCCACACATCAAGCTATGAACTTGTAGTCAGATGTAAAAATCTTGAGATTTGTGTCCACATTTGAACCAAAGAAGGAAAATGTAAGAGCAATTCCCTCCCACCTTCCCAAACTGGCTACAAAGAACAGGCTGACTTAAAACTGTAGGAATAATTCTGAGGAATACTTACACCTTCTGCATATTGCAAAAACCTTTTGTTCGTTTCTTTTTTACCAAAGTCCTCTAGGAACTTTTGTCGATAAGCCAGGACCGTGTCAACATGTGTCTTGTGCTTTACTGCTAGTTCTAGGGCCCTGGAATAAAACAGAAATGGGCTTGTCAGGTTATATAAATGCTCTGGCACAACTACAATCACCATGGTTTTACAAAACGATATGCTGAAAAGTGTTTGGGCTGCAGGCAAAGATTCCTAATCCATAGTGCCAAGGAGTTTTACATTAGTATCAATCACAGGAGGGTAAAAGTAGCCAGCGAAGGAGACTGTCTGCTTTATGATGCATGCTACAAAAAACATCCAACAATTATTTCTGTTGATAACCTCATCGTATCATTGGGAGTTTGACAACAAGGAGTCTTTTTATTTCAAGGAAATAAAGCAGAATGGTTAAGAGTTTAGCACTCTCAATATAAAGAGGCAAAAGTAGTAATTTTTAATAACTTTATTATAGTCAGGATTCACTTCTGAACAGTGTCATAATACACATATATGCCATATGCTACACAGCATTTACAAATATTCTATAGGTGGGAAAGATTAGTCACTGCATTAGTAGAACTGATTACTCTCACATCTGTTTTCTTCTCAATGGCATAAGGAATACTTACGTATGACAGACACAGTTTTTAGATGATATGTATTAAGCAACATAATAAAAACCACAGATATGTGGGGGAAAAACAATTTGTTGCTCACAGTGATAAGAATAGCAAAGAAATTAGTAGTAAACGGCCTCAGAAGATCCTGTTAGAAAACGTGGGGTTTTGTTTAAAGGAGAAATTCCTACTTTGTTTTCTCAGGCCTAATTCATATTTCATCCACCTACACAGTGCTGGGAGTCTGAATAGCCACGTATCTATTTTTAGCAACAAGACATTTCAAAACAGCCTTAATTCTTTGAGGGTCACATACAGTTTGAGGTATCGCTAAGGACTTTTCTGTCTTAACAACAATGAAAAAGCAAAATGTTATTTAAAAATGCTGCCAAGCATGTTTTGGACTTTTATCATAGAATACTTGTACCTTCTAAATATGAAAGAAAACCAGTTACTGGTTTGATTATTGTCAGGATATTACTTACTTCATCTTTTTACAGCTCTGGGCAATTAGAGATAGGAAATTTGTCAGCTAAATATCTGCAATTAAACAACTGACCTAAATAATCTACAGGTTATGTCAGTAAGAATGCTTATAAACATATTGTGTTTAAAAAAAAAATACTACCTGTCCCAATTGTAAAGATTAATGTTGACTTGAATAGCTTGATAAATAAGGCCTGTTTGAAGAAGAAGGGTTTCAGCTTCTTGGGTGTTTCCACTGAACAAGAGTATATGAGCCATCCTTGATTCTTTGGATGGAAGATCTTTGATGGAATTGATATACTGAACTTTGTCAATCTGTTAATGAGATATCCAATAGTTTATTAAGGGAAATTAATTAATAAATGTAGTTTTATTAATGGCAATCAGTAACACCATTTTCTTACCTCACCAATTGCTGCATAGGCGATTTCTGCTGTAGCCATGTCTTGGTTGGCAACTGCCATAGCAGCTAAACATGCCCACATAGTTTGATCCTGAAATTAAAAAAAACCCCCAAAACTTCAAATATTTATTATCATGCTAAAAATGACTTCTTAAAGGAAGTATACAAGTCCAGAAAAATAATATATAACAATACAACATTTCTCAGTATGCCTGTTATGGCACCGTGGTCTAAGTCTCTTATTAGAAAGTTACTACTTAATTATTTCTCAGAACTCCTTCATTATAAAAAAGTTGATGTTGTGATCAGATGAGACTGACAGCTTGGCTGAATGAAGCATTAGTTTTCAGCATCTCAGGCAATAATGAACTCTTGCCACAGTAGCACTTTACAACCTCATCACCGGTGTCTCTGTCACTACTTGTGGAACTATGGTGGAAACCAAAGCACTAGTTGTGGTTCAAAATATCATTTTAATGTGGCTAATCTCAGCCTGGCTTCACAAATAACTGACAATAACACTAAATGAACATTTATCATAAATGTACTACAAATGAAAGAGAAAAGAAAAAAAAAAAAATCACTTGACTGTAGAACAGACTACAAACCTGCTAAAAAGTAAGTCAGAGCTTCAAAAGTTCTGCCTCCTTTGTGGTATTTCCAGGACATTTTATGTATAGAATTCACAATTAGAAAAAACTTAGTGGTAATAATAATATTGCACCCTTGTTTTCTATTTTCATGACTTAGGCTTGTTTTTTGGTTTTTTTTTTTAATACAACCTTTTGGAAACCCCAATAATTCAGAAAAACATTCAGGAAAATCCTGACATTTTGGTATTTTCCCTCTTCAACTCTGACTAGGTTATGACAAAAATAAACTGCTAAAATATATTAGTATAGTTTAGGCTACCACATCTGAAAACTCTAGTTCAGACAGGAAAAATGTAATTTTGAATGTACTTATTAGTCCACATGTACTCTAAGAATGAGGTGACTTCTAATATTTTTGTTAAATATGTCAGGAACAAGTTTGCAAATAAACACTTTGCAATGTGAATACCTTTTTTAGAAGCAGCATAGGATTATTATTGATTTAAATCAGAATAAACAGCTACACCAAGTATGCTTTAAACATATTCCCATGCCCTCTCTTACAATCACTTTTGTATGAAACAAAGGTGGTAAGCCTCACTAAAGCCAGTGAAATACAGTAATTTAGCTTAAGGCTATGGTTTCACCATCACCACCTCCATACCTGCCTGCTCTTTACCATGATTCAGGATAAGATAAACCTTCCTGCTGGTAGCCCATACTTTGGGAGAATTAAAATTGTTCAGAGAATCCAACGCTCATAAAATCTTTGTCATGTTCTCTTCCCCACTTCCCTACTGTTTAGAAAACCAGGTGATAAAATGCTGAAAGCTCAGCCTGAAATTATGCAAGAGACCAAGTTTCCAGGAGTTTTCCACCAATAGGTCTTGCTGTTCTCTCTTTCCTCAGAAAGATGGTCTGTTTTGTTAGTACTGATTGGAAATACTTTGAACTGAGTTGCCAAAATCAACATAAGAGCCCCTGGAACTCCATGAAGAGTTTAGGAATTGTGACAGATAAACAAAGTACTCAACTCAAGACCAGCTGTGATGGCTTTCTGTTTACCTTGGTGGAAGGGTATTCCAGGTCAGCCCTCTCAGCCCAAACACCAATTGTGAAATAGAAAGGATATTCACACCATCTAGTTTGGGCTGGTTTAGATTACCTTACATCAAAAACAACAACAACAAAATAATGACCTTTGTAATCAGTGGAAAGGAGAAGTCTTCAAAGACCTAGGTAGCTAACTTAAAACCAGATGATGTGAATACTCTTCACACTGAAAACAAAGATTCTACTACAGTTTTTCTTGAGAGAAAGGTTTTCCTCACTCGTTGACTGATAAAGATTAATGAGGAAAAGCTCTTAAAAAAAGGGACTTAAAAATATATTGGGATTTCATAAAAGAAGCACTGAAAATTTTAAACATTTTTCCTTTTAATTATGATTAAACTCCCTGCATGACTGTACACAGAAGAATGAAGAGCGAGTACGAAAAGTTTGACCAAAAAATATTCCTTCATTAGAAAACCTTCATATTAATCAAAAAGAAACAATATTCTGAAATATTACCACCCATTTTTATTTATTAAAAATAAAACATCCTACAGATGTTTTATTTTTAAAGATAATTCATTTAGATTACTCAAAAAATTTAACATAATACTGTATTTGAAATTTGAAATCCCAGTTCCCACTGCCAAATACTGGAATAAAAACCTCCTGTTAAATGGATAACACTCAAAATAAAAATCACTATACAGCCCAAATTATCTGGACGTGGATTGATTTAATAATGCAAATAAAAACATATTTTAAATACACATTTAAGGGCATGATAATCCTATGAAAGTACTAAGGTCTTTTCTAGGAGTAAATGGGAGAAAGGAAGCAGGGTTTGGGGGGATTTGGGGCTATTTTAAAGACTGCCAGACTCACCTCATCTGTTGCTGTTGTCTAAGTACATACAAAAGAAAGCAAAGGAAAAAACAAACAAACAAACAAAAAGAAGTGAAATAAAATCTGAAAAAATCCCAGGCAACTGAATGTGGAGATGCAGATCATTTTTAATCACCTACATTAAGGCCTAGTCCTGAAAACTTCAGCTTATTGCTAACTTCTCAAAGTACCTGTGTTCAATCCATTTGGACTTTGGTGTGAATAAAAATAAGATTTTTTAAATTATGTATAATGAAAATGATGAGATTATGTATATTATAGTATTTATAATATATATAATGTATATATACATTATAATATGTATATTATATATATGTAATTATGAAAAATGTAAAATTTTCCATGACCAGCCCAATAATCATCATCAGCAAAGCAGAAAAGAGGAAATGAGATGTAACATCCGATATGCAATTATCATTATTAAAATAATACTTGAAAACATAAATATTACAGTGAAATTATATCTCAAAGTTCCCAATAATCAGCATTTACCTTGACAAAGCGACACAACCGGACAGCAAGTTCCCATTTCGAACTACTGACATATTCATGAAGAATGGTAGGATAAGGTGAAATATTGAGGTGAACAAGTGAACCATCTGCTCTTCTAACTGTTATCTGATTTCCTACAAAATGTACAATCTGGGGATTTTTGCTAAATTCACTGGGTAGAGAAAGAAAGGGAAGTTAATATTCACTTCTTTCTTACTGGAAAGGACATTAGAAATTTAAAGGAATCTTTGTTTCAGTGTTACAATATGATTATACTTCATTTTCAGAGCATATAAACATCTAAGCACCTAGTTATTCAACACTTAAATCCACCAGGAAGTTTGAACGTTCTCTAAAAATAAAATTATAGTTATGCACATTCACTGGCCGTAAGGCAGATGTAAACTGGGTATTTGGGCAAAAATTTTCAAATACATTTTTCAGGTAAAGATATTTGGGCTCCCACAACTCTTAGTATGAAATAAGAAATTCAGGTATTCTTTATGAAGAATTTCATATCACAAAGTTGAAGTAAACATGTAAAGCAAACATGCTCAGCTAGAAATAATATTATCTGTGACCCAATATCTTGATATTTTTTATTTCCAACAGATACTTTAAACATATTTTTCTTTATTTTTCTTACAAACAACTAAGGCATTATTTAATGAGATTTGATTAAAATTTTGCTCTTGCATCAATGATGCTTTTCTCCTTTTAAACTGCTCATCATTTCAACTCAACAAACTTTGTGATGTACCTTATAAAACACTTTTCCTCATTTCCACATTTCCTAATCAGGAAGTAGTAACTTGAAAAGAATTTAAAAAGTTGCAATCCTGGCTTCTACTTCAACTGCCAAAATTAACATAATTCTTTAAGGAATGAGTAAACTGGTTAAAATACATAATCGTATTACTTTGATTAATAAAATTATTATTAT